CCCTGGGCTGCCACGCGAGGATGAGATGAAATTGCTAAGTCCCCTCCTTGCGAGTTCGTAATCCCGCAGATTACAACTGATATTTCTATTCGATGAGCATTCACCTCGCAAAGATTGTAGTTTATTCAAGAAATGGCGTAGATTCTCTTTGTTGGACAAAAATGGAAATTTCGTCTCTGGGAAATATCATTTTCTATTTTATTTCTTAAGGCAAATATATCTTTCAATGCAGACGAATGTATATTAATAGAAGCATAATTGAAAAGTATGTTACACATTTTGTTTCCATGTCTTTCATGTCAAAGGATAAAAGCGAGATGAATATCCGGTCCGATGCATTGGCAATTTAGTGTGTTTACCAGAACAGTTTCAGACATACATCATTCACTTTTTATTCGTAATAAGCACAGGAAGATGCAAATTAGAGGGGAAGGTAAGAGCGTGTAATATAGTTGTCACTTGTTCATACAGTTTGAATTTAGACCTAAGTACGAACTCTAAGGTTCTTAGACGACGTAGGCAAGAAATTTTCATTTTCAGTTAATGACAAAAATCGAGTAGAAAAATACTTTAATCCTGATGAAAGTACGAAAGTTTTAATAAGGTACTTTAGTACTCGACCAATCTAAGTACCATTTTGTTCGGTCTTAGAAATCATTACAAAAATGAACTTTTGAATATTTCAGAGTAAAATAATGTACAAACATTTCGTGTTTCCAAACAGTAAAAAACATATCTGTAATTGAATAATAGGTACAAAATGCTTCTAATCCTCTACCTTAAACTTAACCTGAGAATGTCAACAATGTTTACAAATTTCACTTCGTGATTTGCGATGCCGAGAACGTATTATACTACAAGTGAAGCTGTCCGGTGATGTTTTCTTCTTCTTCACGACAACACGACGACTAAAGTGCCGAATGGCGCGTGAGAGTGCAGGAAAAAACAGCCGTGGGAGGAGGCAGAAGGGGGAGGGGGAGAGGTGTCTGCGGGTGACGCCGCGCTCGTGCAAGACGACCGTCAGCCCGACCGCGACCGCTCGTTCCCTCGAAGCCTCGCCACCCAGAAGACGGTGCGTCGCACGTCCGCCACAACCACCGATGTGGGGATATCGATACTTTGAGCTACGTGCATGCATCTAATGACAAAGATTTTTTTTTGTTATTTAAGGTCGCATCAACATCTAGCGACATCTAGCAACATTAGCGACTACTATTGCATTTAACGGTATGGTAACTGTCAAATATAACCATGTAATAAAATATAACATAATAAAATACAACCATGCCCCGAGGCGGGACTCGTACCCGCGATCCTTCGGTCCGAGATCGCTACGGCACTACTGCCTTAACAATGTCGGCCATCCGAATCGGCGGCAATGATCTATGTTTTGCTAGAATCTCGCATGTTGTGTCTTTATTCCTTGGCGAATTGCAGCAAGTTCCATTTGACTCCCTTAATGAGTCTTACGCGCTTCCTTTCACTTAGTATTTTGGAGTTTTAACGAACGCGCGCATGCCCTGTTTGGCTTCTGGACCCAGCTATAACTTTGAGATGAGTCATTGAACTATTTCATCGAAATGTAACTAACTGTGCGAGTCTGGTTTTAATTTGCATGCGATTTGAATGAGCAAACTTTCGCAACTACTAAGTATACCCAGCTTCAGTCTATATGGCAACTCTGATCACATTCACTTACGACTGTCAAGTACAATAATAATAATAATAATAATAATAATAATAATAATAATAATAATAATAATAATAATAATTGCATCCTTTCTTTAAAGCCTTTTTAATTTTAGCTCGATGAAGAAACGCCTACACGAATATACACGTTATTTTCTGTAGTTTCTACTTATACCTATATATTATTAAGCGCTTATCAGATTCATAAAAAAGAACTTAAATTTCAGTTTAAAAAATTTAAACTACTAATAATGCATGAATGATGCCATTTTGTAGAATTACCATTTGATGGTGTATAGGCTATGGAACGGCGCATGATTTTTCATTGGATATACTGATGTAAATACTTCATTGGAATTTACGAGACTGCTCGTTTATCTACCCCCAGTCGCCTCTTTCCACTCATTGAAAATTGAAAAAACCCAGGCAAGAAGTATTTATATTTTGTAATATTTACATCAACGTGTGATATAACGACAGCATACTCTGAAATGAAAGTTCTGACCAGGAGGCCTCACTCACCTTTGTCGTCGCGCCGGTCGAGGTCGTCCTTGTCCTTGTCGTCGCCGTCCGAGACGACGGCGTCCTCGTCGTCGTCCGTCTTGTTCTTGGGCTCCCACGTCATCTTGTTCTCCTTCTTGAGGCGGCGGCGCGCGTTGGCGAACCACGTGGAGACCTGCGTGAGCGTCATCTTGGTGATGATGGCCAGCATGATCTTCTCGCCCTTGGTGGGGTACGGGTTCTTCTTGTGCTCGTTGAGCCACGCCTTGAGCGTCGCCGTGGACTCGCGTGTCGCGTTTTTCCGCCGCGCCGCCAGGTCGTAGCCCGCGCCGTAGCTGCAACGCAACATTTCGCACCATCAGCCTAGCACATTCACACATACACATACACATACACATACGCTTTTGGGCCAATGTGTAAGGACAGAACAATCTCATCCTGTAGGAGGTGTATTGGGTTCATAAATGACACAGAATCATCCAATGAATAAGGTCTGACCAATCTTATCCTATAGGAGTTGTATTGGGTTCATAAATCACTGAATCATGAAGATATGTACTAATTTAATAATTAGAGAGTGCAACAGTTTCAAGGAAACACTTTTTCCTCATCAGGCAAAAAAATCAAGGAGTTACAAACATACAAGCAAGAAAAAAAGCGTAGAACGTATTATTCAAAGGTGTTTTAATGATTGATTGATTTATGATTCCGAGCGCTTCAACTGCAAAGGTCACTAGTCACATAAGTGTAGTGCATGATTTATCTTGGGAGGAGGAAGTGATCTTCCCCGCTGGACAGCGATATCGAGTGCCGATCTACCCGTCGGCTTGGGTTTTCCTCAACGTGGTATCTCCCACCTGCAGAGCACCGCCCCAGCCGGGACAAACTCTTAACACCCAACTGGTCTCCCGGCATGTGTAGTAGTAAGTAAGGAATGTGTAATTGTATCTATGTTAGTGTATGTTAAAAGGAGAGAGAATAGGACAAGAAAGAGAAAGCAAATATAGCGCGCGATCCGTGGCCCGTTTGTTAAGGTACTGCTCTGGCATTCGCCTGGCGTTGATCGGAGAAACCACCGAAAACTGCTGAACACAGTCGCTAGACTTCTCCTCCATACAGTTATGTTGCTAGTGTCGAAAATCTTGCCACCGCTGGGAATCGGATTCTAGGACCTCAGGTCAGGGGCACTGCAGTGACATCAGTTGGTGCCCTCATCCACCTATGCCGGTCACACAAAAGAAGAATGTGTAGTCGCTCAAAGAGACGGGCCCGTCGAGAACCACCACTCCCACGCGTTGCCTCGAGCGAGGGCGGAAGGACGCGGGGCGGCGGGCGGTGACCGCGTGAGCTCTATCTGCGCCGCCCCCGCGGCGTCGCCCCGGCGCCCCTGTCGCTCGCTCGCTCGCCGGGCGATACAG